AGTAAATGGGCAGATCATTGGTGACAAGGGAAACAGCTCTAACTCTAAGAACAGAAAGACTTACTTTGGCAAAGTGGGCATTGTCAATTCTCCGATGGACTTGCGGATTGAGGTGACCACAGAGAAGATTACCCTGAAGAATGGGGCTGCACAGAGTTCTTTCAGCTGGCTGGACACAGTCACGGTCACCTCAGAAGGGTAAGGCCCCATACCGGGACTCGATAGAAGGAGGCTTGAAGGATTTGTAGAAATCTGAGGACAGAAGATCCATACGGGGTTACAGGGAAGACTGGTGGCCTCAGAGTTCAGTCCCTGCCCCGGGGGAGTGTGACCATGGTAGACCTGAGCCAACCCCTAGGGCCCCTGTGAGAACCAGAATTGGTAGCTGGACAGTTCATAGGGCTGACCTTGAGGGAAGGGCTACATGGACCCAAGGATCAGGTAGGCATGGCAATCTGGTAACAGCAAGAATCCTATTTGCATCTTCTCTGGCTGAATTCATTAGTTCCCAAGCCGCTCAGCCTCTCCTATGTCTTTAGATTACCCAGACCCTGGGAGGCAGGGCAGGAGTGTTACTCCACTGAGGCTCAGAAACAGGGTAGAACCTGCCCAGGAATCTAATGGCTGAGCTGGGACTGGATCCCAGGCCTCCGGATGCCGAGGACAGCCCCTTTCCTGCTTAAGGAGGAGCAAGAATGCATTCAGGGGAGGCATAGTCGGCATGCATGACATGTCTTTCCTCCACACTCCTGACATAGTTTCTGGAGTTGTGTGTTCTCAGGTGCCATGCACAGGGAGGGCTCTGCCAAGATGTCCTTGATTCAGATGCCTGGTGTCATGGCCACTGTGCCCCTGGCTGTCCTCCTCTGCTCCCCTAGGTTCTCTGTGAAGATCAACAGGGAGGCTATGGTGGTCTCCTTTGGAGAAGGGATTACCTTTAAGGTGGTTCTGCACCAGGTGTGGAAGAAACATCACATCCACCTTCACTTTCTGGGCTTCTACGTGCTGGACAGTGACAAGATGTCAACAAAGTCACACGGGCTGCTGGGTATGGAATGTTCAAGCTTCAGGCTGTTCAGGGCAGAGGGAAAAGCCATGTGAAAGGCCATCCTAGCCTCTCCATGCGCGGCACACAGCACCCCCTCAGCCTTTGCCTTAACCCTGGAAGGCCAGTGGCCATGCTCCCTGGGGCAATGGCAGGGGCTGACAGAGTAAATGTTTTTCTTCCCAGGACAATTCTTCCGCCCCCTTGCCTTTCAAGTGTCTGACCTCAACCCAGGCAATGACCCCTCCAAGATACATGCCATAATGCTGGTGAAGAAACATCGGCTGGCAGTCACCAGGTGCGGGGACCCATCTGACATCCTCACCCTGCCCACTAACAAGCCAGGGGGAAAGAGCCCTCTGTGCCCACACACATTGGTCCAGCAGGCTTTGTCTTCTGTAGGGTTCCCTCATTTCCCTCTGGGGTCTTGGGCCCCTCGAGGCCCCTCCAAATCAGGGAAAGGCCAAACTCAGCCCCCTAGAAGGAGTAACCATGCAACCTCATTCTTGGCCAGAGAATTATGGAATTGGCAACGTCACACCCTTTTTCAACCTTGGTCCATGAGCGTATCA